GATTCTATGATTCTAACTCTGAGAACTTTAAAGGGTCATGAGCTTCAGAAAATATTGACTGCTGATGCTCAGGAAGAGGCAAACTCCTGAGCACATCTCAGAAGTTTAGCAGTCAAAATCCTGTGACAGTATTCAAACTGTTTGAGAAGTCTGGTCCAGAATTTGAGTCTTCACCTGGAAAATGTAAAATGCTTGGGATCTTAAGATAGATTTTTTTTTTTTTTAAATCAGTGTCCTCAAAATATCTGTCATGGTCTATTTGCAAGAGATCAAAATAATTTTTTTAAAAAAAGAAGCAGAGGGTCTTGGTGTCATTTGAGTAATTAATAAATACTGTTTTCACATTTGCATTGTTCTCTATGGAAGGAGACATTGCTACTCAAAAAGAAACAAAAAAAGAAAAAGATGTGTTAAAAAGATGGAGCAAAGTTCAAGATTCCCAGACTCCTACTGCCCTGAAGCACTCGGATCCATTTCACAAGCTAGTCACAAGAGCTTTACTTTCCAGGTCCAAAAGCATCAGATGAATAGGTCATTATATAAATAACAGCAGGAAATTAGAGCAAATAGAAATGCTGGAAAAGCTTTTGGTCTCTGCTTCCTTTAAGGATTACAAGGAAATTTTTCTTTGGGCAGTGTCCTAGGGTGTAACCATAAGTAGTGCAGCTGCCAAATAAGAAATGTCTTTTTAAATTAACTTCCTTACAAATGTTCAGCTTATTACTATTTACTCTTGGTTATTCATTTCTTTTGCACACAAATTTCCAAGGCAGACATGGCTAAGGAAATATGTAAAAAATCTAGTTTCCCTAATCCTTTTTAGGCTGGTGTGTGCCATCTTCCTCCTCCAGCAACAACACGCCACATTTTTTATTGATTATTTTAACAGAGAAGGATTTACAGATTGCAGCCTGTCCCTTTCAGGATTTGCTGCTCAGTGTTGTACTAGGAAATATTAACTACTTATATAACAAAAAGAGAGCAGGTTTGTCCTGTAAGTTGTATAGAATAATTAGGTTATCAATAGCATCAATGTTTAAAATGCCAGAAGTCAAGCTTCCAGCCTCTTTTATAATTCTTTGGTTTTGCAAAGAATTTGAGCAGGTAAGGAAAGAGCTGAGGTCCCTGTAGGGGAAGTATAAACTGCTGGGTTTGTTCCCAGGTCTGAGTGTACTACACAGGAGAGACAAATAAAAATAAACTAAATGGAGGGGGTAAGGAATTGCTGCTGAGTCGCATTTAGAATTCAAGATCTCCATCTGTGGCAGTGGCACGTAGCCAAAATCTTTTCAGGTTCTGGTTGTTTTTTTTTTTTTTTTGAATTGAAAACAGCTGGGATATTATTGACATAGGAACTGCTTTACTGGTCTGACTCTGACCATAACAAGTTTTGCAGTTTCCAAGAGGATTCCAGCTATTTTTACAGCAAAAACTGAAACTGAAATGAGGGCTGGCTCCTACTGAAACTGTCAAAGCACATTCCAGGAATCTCAGCAATTTACCAAGTAATCACATAGTAAGCAGCTATAAAGTAGAACGCTTATTTACAATCTACAAAATGGTTTTATACAGTGTAAGCAGTTACAACACTTCTATCAAAGGTTTGATCAAAGAGAGAAAATGTTTCTTAAAATTGTCAAAGAAAAAACATGCCTACATTTCGAGCCAGCTGTCCTAGCCAGTATTTTAGCTGCCAGTTTAGCACTCTATGAACAGATTCAAAATCAAAACAATAAAAAAAAAAAAAGGAAAGTCCAGCATTTGATGCCATGGAAAAGTGTTTAAATATGTTATCTGGGAAAATGGAGTGTTAGTTGACAATTCCATGTACCGTTTCTTCTCAGAAAGACAGCATTTAAAAAGGATGTAGATAGTTGCTCAGGTAATTATGACACGTAGACTGGAGAGCCTTCTATAAACAGGGATGGTTATATTAACTCCCCGTCCTGAAGATGGAAAATGAGGCCCAGGGGGGCTGTGTGACAGACCTGCAGTTGGTCAAGCAGGTGCTGGTCTGAGGATGTGAGGTTGGATCTGTATCTTTCTGCCTCTCTACACAAGCAGGCTGTCCCTGCTAGGCCATCTGCTGTGTACTTCCCACTTCAGGGAAGTGTCCTTTTTCACAAAAGCATATAAGCACCTGTTTCAACTCAGCCGTGTTCTTATTTATCCTGAAGTGAACTAGGAATTTGGTACAAGTATTTTGTGCTTAATATTAAGCGTTTCCATGTGTGATGCCTTGAAATAGGAGTGACATTTGGAATGTGCTCAATCACTTTCCTGAACTGGTCTGAGTCCTTCCAGAAAAAAATATCTGGAAGATACATATGAGAATTCAAGAGGTTTTTTTACCTGTGCTTTGAACTCCATTAGTGTATTGCTGAAGACAAAATACTGATCTGTCTCAGTTGCTAAAAGCAGCAATTGGACATAAAAGAAGAAATTACAGAACTGTCATGGAATATTTGTTTCACTTATTTATGGACAGAACTGCTACAGGTTTTGATTACAAAGAATTATAATCAGCATAAAACTACAAGGAGTGCAGCAGAGCTAGAGCAAAGGTGAATTGAACACAGTATCTTCTTTCCAACAGTGCATCGTAGTCACTGTTTATTAAATAGTACATTTAATGAAGGCAAATTTATCTTGAACTTTCTCTCCTATATCCTCCAGTTTCTGCCAACTAAATAAGTAAGAACACTGTGAGCCAAGGGTTGAATCCAGACCAGCATATTAAGGCACCAAAGGGCTTATACTCCAAAAATGTATCAAACTCCCTTCTGAAGCCATTTATACTTGGCTTCTACAGCATCTTCTGGCAAAGGGCTCTACATTTAAACTTACTGAAAAAAAAAAAAAAAAAAAACAGGAATTTGCAAGGGTGCATCAGTAACCAGAGCTCAGGTTTTGTTAGTGGAGCTCAAAGACTTTAGCCCCCATCTGCTTTCCCCATCTTTCCCCATAAGCAGGAGCTAGAGAGGGCAGGGAGCAAACCTGCATGTCACACGCTGCACCTCTTCTTTTTAATACAACTTGCTAAAATGGCTTCCTAAAATACATCATGGTGTAACTAAAGGGGAAAAAAAACCAAAAACAAAAACGGGTGTTCAGGGCAGCATTAACAGTTCCAATGTATTTTTTTTTTTAAAGAGGAAGATTAGTGACCACGCCCTTCTGTGGCATAAGCAGGTGATGTTTCCTAAACCTCAGTAGCAGTGTGCAGACTGACCCTGTAGCTGACCTGTCCTCTCTGTGGCTTCTGATCAGCCACTTCCATCGTATCCTCAGTAGCACTCCAGAAATCCCCAACCATCCCCCTCCAATGGAGACAGAGAGACACCTCAGTTACCAAAAGCCACTATAAACTGTGGCAGAACACTATGTCTAAGCACAGCACCTGGCACTAAGGAAAATTAATATTTCTGTTCCTTGATGTCATCTGAGAGATGAAAAGATTTTAATCGGATGTTGGCCTGGATCCTTCCACTCTTTGTACTCTGCATGATAACAGCATTTAAAATTGGGGAAAAAAAATGGTTTGAGCAATAAGAGAGCCTCCAAGACTAAAGCATATACTTGGTAAACACTTAACTGAGCACCACTATGCTGTGCTATATGGGGGACACTTTCATAAAAAAAACCCATTAGATTAACTTTTGAGGTTACTGTACATTTGATTTTTTAGAATAGTGGTTTAGTGAGAAAAAGATTTTGGATACAGAAGCTGAGGGACTAAATAGTATTCCAAGGAGGACTGCACACTCAAACTTGCAACAAACAAAATTAACATTATTCCTTCCTCCTTTAATTTCTTTTTCTCTGGTCATCCGACTTGTATTTCTTTTCTCAATCTTCCCTTCTGAATTTAAATCTGGATTTTCTCAAATTTTTCTTGCTTGTCATCCAAATATTTTAAGACATATTAAGTAGGCTGAAATAATTAACAAATATTAAGTAGTGTCCTTGTCTCAACATTAAAGAGAAACTTCTTTATTCTTTGTCAGATTTAGCCATATGCCACTTCACTGATTACCACTTTTATGGGAAATGTCGTTTGAGACAAGCCAGGATACATAAATAGCTATCTTATGTTAACTCAGATTAAAGGGATATGGCTGCACATAAATATATGTATATTTCAACATCAGAAGCTAAATATAATTCTAAAGTTTTCCCTGTTTCATGCTAGATCAAGTAGGCTTAACGCTATGGACTATATTCCAAGAGCTCCTATTCATGAATGCCAGATTTTTGAGTCAATCTGATTTTAGGAGAGAAAAATTTGTCACCCAACCCTCAAGGTGATTGTTAGAAGTACAAATCTTGTCAAGCGTGGTTGTGATTTGTTGAAAACTGCCCCAAAATATTTGAGAGAAAATGTAGCTGAGTATCCATAAAATAGTGAATACTCCATGGTACGTATGATATACTAAACCAGCTTGTAACCCAGCTTATTTCCAGTTAAATCTGTGCCATTTTTAGAATGTGCTGGCTCCAAAAATGTATAGCAAGGACTTGAGAGAAAAGAGATTAAAGGTGCCAAATTACAAGCAGTATCTACAAACTTGAAAATACTTACATTAACCCATGGATGCTCAAGAACTTGCAGGGCTGAGAATCGCAGATCTACATCTACTTGAAGCATCATTGTGATAAGTTCCTGAGAAATGGAATACTGGGTCAAATTTAAAGAACATTTTCAAAGAACAAATCAACATTTAATGCACTGAAGTGCTCTTCAACTGATTATGAAAGAGTACTTGAAAGAGTGAACTACCAACTGCGGAAATATATTATTTTTAAAAAAAGGACAACTATGAACAGCTGAACTTCAAGCTGACCTTTTAATTCAGTATCCAACAGTACCTTGAAAAGCTAGAAGACAGCTCTGAGTTACAGTTCTGTAGACACTGTTTAAGAGAAAGGCACTTAATACATGATGTACAAAACAGATGGTCGCATGAAATTAGGTTAGCTTCCCATTAAGAAAAAGCCAATTTCTCTGTAGGAAAAAAGCCAGCAAATCCAGAATTTACTTTAAGCTCTTGTATAAATGACATAGAAGATATTCTTTTTGTCATGTGCCAAGAAGCTACGGCCCATGAACTCATGGCCAAAACAAGTCTGTACTTCATGCCATGCTGAGTTACAGGCAATGGAAGGCCTGGTTCTTTGACAGAAAGAAACAACAGACATATCTCCTAATGGGATTAATAAGGGGAAAGCAGCCTCCCTGTGATATTATTATATAATATTCAAAGGCTCCAGGCTGGTACCTGGTCCCCATCATAAGTACGTATGAAGTACAGTCCCAGGGAGCTTTCAAGCTAGAGAATTGTAGGTCAAGCAAAGTTACTTAAATTCTTTCTTGATCAGTAAGGGCTGTTGATGTCTCTGTTGTGTGGGACATCATATAAAGACAGGGTCCATTTCAGAATCACCTGGAGTCTTATAGACAGGCAGTGACCAAATGACAACAGATTTGGTGACCCAGAGGAATTTATAGGTGTAGCGGATTTATGAGACATGTCAAATACAGCACTGTGAAAGACCAACATGCAGGAGATACTGGCACTGGGAACAATATTGGAGGAGAAAGTACCATCAACTATAGCCCACCTTTGCGGAGTCAGAAACGTTGTCCCAATATGGAGATGGAAAATCCACCTGTCCCATCAAAATCTGATCAAAAAGCACTTCTTGGTCATCTCCACTTCTGAAAAGTAAAAACCAAAGAAGAAAAACAACAAGCCCCACAAATAAATTATTTCCAGAGCTGGTTTCAACAGGCTTATTGAAATTGCTTTTAACTGGCGATCCCTTAGTATGCTTTTGGAAGGGGTGGATTCCCCCAGGCATGCAACCATGGGTGTGAATGGTGAGATTATAAACCAAAATGCATTTGGTACACTCTTTTTGAGGTAACCTGCTTGCTTTTAGGATTGTCAACAACTTTGCAATTGCTCTGAGAGGGACAAAAGTTCTGACATGGCCTTATTAAGTAAGTGTCTTACATTTTAATTACCTTTTACCGACCACAAAATATGTTGTATTTGGTCCATGAAAGTAGATGCTTATTTCACTGTGTATTTCAAACACTAGGTAAAGGCACCCACAACCCATAATGGAGGCTCTTGTTTTGTAATGCAATGAAGTTAAAACTAAAGTAAACAAACACAAGACAGAAATTTTATAGTAAAATCACAGACATTTATGGGGTTTGTGTAAATTACTATGCAGAGCACAGGAAAAAACAAGCCCTGTAAGCAGAGAACTTTTTCACAATGAGAATCTCTGTGCTTAATGCACAGGCAGCACAGGGACCAATCCACAGACCAAGGATGGTTGAATAGATCAGTTCATACCCACGGAATGGAGGAAAACCACAGAGCAGAATGTAAGTAATCACACCCGCTGCCCAGATGTCCACCTTCAGGCCATATCTAAAAGTGTGAGAGACATGGTTAGAGACATCTGACTCCTGTGAACTACAGTGCAACAGCAGAGGAAACATTTTCAGAATTATTAATAGCTTTTTATATATTCTCATCTGAACTTTCTCTGTCTCCTAACTACCTACCCTAATTGCACTTTCAGATCTTTTTTACATTTCCATCTTAAAACTACATTAGATTAGAATGTAGGAGTGCACAGAAGACATGCTGTATTCCTGAGTTAGACAGTGATGCCAACACAAAGCCTGTAAAGCTGACACAGGCTGCTCAAGCCAGCAAACTTTATTCTGTAGAACGAATCAGAAGAGGACAGTGTGTGATAACAAAACAAAATAAAGTGAACAGTAGTTAGCAGTCTCAGGACAGCTTAAGAACTACTTCTATCATATCTGTAAAAGGCTAGCTAGTAACTCAGTGCTAAGCTGAGAAGTTTGAGGCCAACAGTTGGCAGGGGAATTTGATGTAACTCCAAAGTTTGCCCTACTCTGAGCTGGTTTGGACAAGATAGCCTCTAGAGGTCCCTTCCAACTAAATTGTTCTATGAGCCACGATTCTCCATCATACCCGAGCAAAGGCAGCATAAAAATTTTAATTGCAAGAAGTTCTGTCTGGCACACTGGCGAGAATGTGCTCCACTGTGTACAGGACATCACCAGAAGAGATTTACCCAGTTTCAGCAATGATTTCTGGAGCTACATATGTTGGTGTCCCACAAACAGTATATAGAGGTCCATCCACAATTGTTGCTAGGCCAAAATCTCCTAGCTTCAGGGACTTGCTTCCATCTTGGTGTTCATAAACCTAAATCAGGAGGAAAAGTCAAAGGTTTAACACAGTAACATCAAGGCAACTACTATAGCATTTACTAACTGCCTGAAATGGTCCTTTGAATTTATAGTCTTTTTTTCTTCTCCTTACCTACAACATACTTCTCTGCATGCTTTGTAAATTCTCAGACTATTTGGACAACTACCCTTGAATACACTCAGGACATTTGGGAAAGACTTACTTTGCCACCTGGCCAAAAAAGGACATGCTGCTTGCTAGAAGGTAAAGCCCAGAAGCAAAGGTCTGTCCTACCAGCAGTGACCCTCCTAGGTTAACTCTCCACTGACAGCCAGTTCACAGTGTAGGGGTTTTGAGTTTATTAATTATACTTGAACAGAGCTTAAAGGTTTGTGGTATGTTACTATCATCATAACTGGACATAGATATGGCAGTTAATCAGTATACCTGAAAATCCTGCCTTAAAACATTGTCTTCACAGTAGCAGTATGGGCACAAAGGGAAGTGAAGATGGAGTCACAAGAAAAAAGCTAGAAACACAACTAAAAATATATACAATTTTAAAAGCTGGCTCAATATAAAAGGACAACCTCAAACCTGAAAACACTGGAAAATTCAAAAATATTGTTTAAAATAAAAAAATAGACTAAAATGTATCTAAATCAAACACTTGACTGTGAGTCTTCAATCCAGCTGCTGATCTGAGCTCTTGCTTCCCATTTTGAAATAGTTTATGATATAATTTAATGCTGTTTACCACAACAGCACCTTAAGAAACGGAACCATCCTTTTCCAGCCCAAATCAAAAGTCCATGCAGTCCGGCTCACCAGTGGTGATATCCTGACAATTAACAGTAACACTGTGCAAAAACAGAAGGTATCATATTTCACAAACCAAACCAAAATCATCCTTAATACTCATCTTGACCAGCTACTGCAGCTTATCCTACATCAGAAATCATATTTATCTACATCTATTTGCAGAGGCTAGAGTTTTTCTTACAATAATACAACATATTCTACAATGAACCTTTGGACAGTTCACTTGGTTTATAAATGAAATCTTGAAGTCTCTTGCCAATGTTTGCTACAGATCTGTTATAGCTATTGCATCATATAGTCTTTCTAATAATTAGTTATATTATAGAGCTCCTCTCCAGTTAGTCATGTCTAGACAGAATACCCATCTCTGTCCTGAATCCCTGCTAACAGGTGATACAGCCCCAAGCAGACATCAAGAATACACAAAATTCTTCCCCTTTCCTTTTGTTATTTTTACTAATACAACTGGATCTTTAAGAGGACTAGCAATTTGATATGGATTCACATTTCTTTGCCTCTAAGCCAGAAAAAAAGACAGGCTTATAGAAAAGCACTGGGAAAAAAAAAAAGCAATTATGGTTTTATTAAAAACACAGATTGTTAAATACATCTGGTTCCTGAAACTAAAGAAAGTGCTCTCTGAAATGGCAGTAATAAATCTAATTTCAACAACAGTTTTAATTAAAGGTTAGAGACTAGACCTTTGAATATTCACTTGATGAAAAATGTAAAGTGTGCACTCAGACATCAAGATCTGAATCCAGCCTAATTAGCATCTTACATTCTATTTCACAGGGTTATCTTTTACAAAGCCCTCTCTGGGTTGTGTTGACCTAGTGAATGTTCACAAATTCCTTCCTTCAAGAGACTGTGCCTTGCATGACATATATCCTAGAAACTGATCATGCAAGAGACTTGTTTGTCAATATTTATCAATGCAGAAGATTTCATACTGTGCATTTTCTATTTTTTTTTTGCCCCATCTGTTTCCAGGAATTACCTTCCTTGGAAAACTACTTTAGTTGACTTGTAAAACTGAAGAAAGTAACTTTTCCTCACCCTGTTACAACTCCATATAAAAAAGGAGCCCAATGTGAAGCTGTGGTATGTTACTTGCCAGTCAAGGAATGTGAAAGACAATTTAATGCTCATGTTATTCAGAACAAACACTATATACATTCCACTGCATTTAAATACTGAAGGGCAATTAAAGAAATGGGGATTAGTGCAAATTACCCACTATGTAGTGCTTTCACTGTTTTAACTAAGCAATAAAACTGTGTAATTGTACAACACTAATTGAATGCAGCCACACATAATTGTGTGCCACCATATGTATCCTATTACTATAAAGACTGTCAGAATTTTCTAAGCTGCTCTTGTGATCAGTGCAGATGGCAACAGTCAGAGAAGTTGTTCTCTAGGGTTTATTATATGGCTATAAAGACATCCCGTGACTTGACAAAATAAACGTGCTAAATAGCAGCAATTATGAAAAATGTTCCAATTAAAACATGGAAGACACTCTCTAAAGAACCAAAAAATCACTAAAAAATCGCAGGTATCCAGCATACTCTAAACTCTTGGACAGCTGACACTTAGGTGGGCTTTGTGTGCCTTGAAGATAATAAGGAATATTTAAGCACTTATAGAAATAACTGGTGTTGCACATAGGATGTTTAGACAGGTTCACACACACAAAGGTTTATCAGCAGGGTCTGCAGCTGATGGGACACATCAGTTACAGGCATTGAATTTACTTTTGGGGAAAAGGAAAAACCAAAGGAGAGAAGGAGCAATGTCAATGTAAAGATCTCCCCTGAGCTGGGAAGAGATAAAATGAGGAGGTTCCAGATGAGAAGTCTCTTCTGGGCACTCCCTCTAGAGCAGCACGTTCCCCTTCACTCCCCATATTTTTCTTGTAGAAACTCTTTAGCTTTTGACATGCCTTGCTCATCCTACTTATTGCTTGTTTTTTGTTTTTTTTTCTGCTAATGGGGTTGCTAGCCTTGGGGTATGTATTTATCTGGGCAGATGCTGCTTCCCTGGTTGGTTACCTCACTTTGGGCAGGCCTGTTATAGGCTCCCCTAAACCTAAAGCTGAAATTCATCCAGCTTTAGAAAAGGGTGGAGGGAAAAGGGCTGATTCTCAGACTGGTGGCCAGGAGAACCTGCTGTAGCAACACTGCTGGGGTTTGCAGGTTCAAGACCATGACAGTAATGACATGCACAACAGCACAAGAACAACAAGGGAAAAATACTGCCATGACTGCATTGGTGAAGGGTTACAGAGAAATGCAGGCTATAGAAGACAAGCAGAAGCTCTTTAGCAACAGGAAGGCTAAGACTCATATGGCATTTTGCAAGCGTTTTATAAATGCCATGAAAATAACCCGAACTGTAATCTTCTGGGACAAGGAACTACCCATCTCATTTGACAGATAAGAGGATAAAAGTAGAAGGGTCAGGTAAGGCCAGTTCCAGAGCACTCTTCTAAAATACCATTTGTTTCTTTTAAGGACCTGATAAACCTTAGAGCATTAATTTAGTTTGTGAATGAATTGCTGGCTTTTGAGTATTAGGATGCTGCAAGAGGTTAAGTGTTGCATCCTCTCTGCTCAGTGTCAAAACCAACATAGGATCTTTACATCCACACAACAATGGAAAAATCACTCAGAAACAATCCAGATACAATGTAAATGGTGTGATCATTCCTGGTAGTGGGTATTTACCAGAGAGATGTCTGGGCAGGAAAATCTCATCCTCTCCCAGTTGCCCTCGTCTCCTGTTTACCTTTCCCTCTTACCCAAAAGCTTAACTCTACTGTTGTCAGACTTCAGGCATTGAAAGACATGCCAAGAGAGCAGCAGGGCATGCCTTGCCCCAGATCAAGACCCTCCTGCACACTCTAGGTCACAGTGTTAATAAATCCTAGCACGTCACTGCTAGAACAACTGCATACAGACACCTATGAACACAAGAACTGCAAAAGGAGGATCAATCATTAGTGTTTAGTGAAACTTCTACACAACATGTTTTTAGCAGATTCTGGAATATGAGGGCAAGCTGAGTCCTCATGCAGAACTATAAAGGCACTTGCCACTAGAGGAGCATCAACTGTACAGATCCCACTCCCTAGAAGTTTAGTGAGATCTACTTGAGTCAACTTTCCATAAAACTTCTTCAGTGTCAAGCAGGACTACATGCACTAAGTCATGGCAGAGAGCACGCAACTGATAAACTTATGTCCTAGGTATGAAACATCATTTTATGTTTGCAGAATATATGGAGGCTTGGGACATCTTGATATTAGAACATGTTGGCAAGTTTGGGAGAACTCAGAGAACAGTGAAATAATCTGGAGACATTAATTTCTCAGAAGAAAGCTGGAGAACACAATTGCTGCATTCGAGAGTGCAAAATTTTCAGAAGGACTAATTGCCAGGGTGTGTTTTCATTGGCTTCAATGGACAGTGGTCATAAAGATTCAGTTAGGAAAAGGAAAATTTAGGCTGCCTATCTGGGAAAGTGGCTTAATAAAAAGTGCTGTAGGATTATTTTGGAGATGCAGCAGGGAAAGGAAAGTCAGTGAAGCGTCTTCCTGGTTGTGCTCTGATGTATTCTGTGATTAGGGAATAATTTATTTTTTTCTTTTCATAGAATTGCTTGGGGTTGAATGTTTCCAGAGATGGTGCATCTACCACTTCTGTGGGCTGTATGTTCAAGTGTTTCACCACCCTCATTGTAAAAAATGTCTTCATTCTATCTAGTCTAAATTTACCCTTTTTTAATTTAAAGCCAATACCCCTTGTCCTGTCACAAGAGGCTCTGCTAAAAAGTTGTTTCTCATCTTTCTTACGTACACACTTTAAGTACTGAAAAGCCCCAAGACCTTCTCAGGCTCAACAACTTCAGCTTTCTCAGCCTTTCTTCATAGGTGAGGAGTTCCAGCCCTCTGATCATCTTTGTGGACTTCCTCTGGACCTTTTTGGGCAGGTTCATGTCCTTCTCGTGTTGAGGGCTCCAGAGCTGCACACAGTACTCCAGGTGAGGTCACACCAGAGTGGAGCAGAGGGGCAGAATCACCTCCCTCAGCCTGCTGGCCACACTTTTTTGATAAAGCCCAGGACATGGTTTGGCCTTCTGGACTGTGAGCATATATTATTGGCTCATATCCAGCTTTTCATCAATCAGTACCCCTAAGTCCATCTCTGCAGGGGTGCTTTCAATCCCATCATCTCCCAGCCTGTATTGATACTGGGGGTTGCCCTGAACCAGGTACAGGACCTGGCGCTTTTCCTTGTTGAACCTCATGAGGTTCACACAGGCCCACTTCCCAAGCTTGTCCAAGTCCCTCTGGGTGGCATTGCATCCCTTTTGTGTGTCAGCTGCACCACTCTGCTTGGTGTCACCTGCAGACTTGCTGAGAGTGCACTCAATTCCACTGCCTATGTTATTGAAGAAGATATTAAGAAGTACTCGTCCCAGTATGGACCCCTGAGGGACACCACTCATTATTCATCTCTATCTGGACATCAATCCCCTGACCACTACCTTCTGGATGTGACTATCCAACCAATTCTTTCCTTATCCACCAAACAGTTTACTCATCATATCCATATCTGTCCAGTTTAGAGAGAAGGATGTTGTGGGGGACCAATTTAAAGGCCATACAGAAAGTCCAGGTAGACGACATCCATAGTTCTTCCCTTCTCCCCTGACATAGTCATTCCACCACAGAAAGCCACAAGATGGGCCAGGCAGGACTTGCCCTTGGTGAAGCCACACTGGTTGTCTCAAATCATCTCTCTGTACTCCATGTAGCTTAGCATAGCTTCTAGGAGGACCTGTCCCATGAATTTCCCAGGCACAGAGATGAGGCTGACAGGATGATAGTTCACAGTATCCTCTTCTTTACCCTTTCTAAAAATAGCTGCAATGTTTCCCTTTTTGCAGTCACCAGGGACTTCAGCTGACTGACATGACTTTTCAGACATCATGGGGAGTGGCTTGGCGACTACGTCAAACAATTACCTCAGGATTCTGGGATGCAACTCATCAGGTCCTGCAGACTTATGTATGTTCAGATTCTTCAGGTGATCACAAACCTGGTCTTTTAGAGTGGGAGGGACTGTGTCCCTACAGACCCCATCTTGTGGTCCATAATATTTATATCAACTACTTTTTTAAATTAACTGCTGAGAATTACTTAGGAAGCTGCAAAAGTACAGAATAGTCTACTGAGGACAGAACACCTTTGTATTTATGAGAAGCTTGAAATTATACTGCAGCTGACTCAAAGGTCACTTCTAGTAATCACCAGAAGAACTCTGCCACTATGTCCTGAGGAACAGTCTAGACAAACCATCTTACCTTACTGTACTTTTTGTAATAGCTGTTACTCTTGGGAGAACTTTACAGTGTTAAGATTAAAATTAAAAGAACAACAGGCTGAAATAAATGTGGAAGGTGTGGAAGTAGAAGAGAAGTGCAGATCTTCTCTCACTCTCAACTTATCAACAATACTGAAAGCTGAATCTTTACTTACCAATAGGTTCTCTGGCTTGATATCCCTGTGGACAATGTTCAGGCTGTGAAGGTATTTGATGGCACTGGCCAGATTGTAAAGCATCCCACTGGCATCTCGCTCCGTGTATTTGTTGGTGGAAGTGATAGCATCAAAAAGATCTCCTCCCTGGAGCAAAATGACCATGGCATATGAGCAACATATGAAATGACTGAAAAATCCAAGGAGCATCATTTACAGAGGAGGAGGAGGGAGGAGCAGTACAGTTTCCTTGCAGCTATCAACTATAGCTACTGTAATGGCATCTCCCACAGCTGAACATATCAGTAATTCAGAACCTTTTGTCATGGCTTAGGTGGCCAGCCAAGAGGCTGGAGTCTCTACTGCAAACTGTTTCCACCTGCTGCTGCTTTTGTAACCTGTCCAGCACTTGCCAACCTCTGTGTTCAGAGCCCCTGTTGCATATTTCTGGCACGTCTACATAGTTTCCTATCACAATGCCATGTACTAACCCTTGCCAGTCTTTATTATAATCACAAACAGGCTGATATCATTTTTTGCTCAAAGCTACCTGTCATTGCTGCTAGCATATTTTAAAAGTCTGTTTCCATCTCATAAAACTTCAAAAATGTGGATTTTAGAAACCACTTTCTCCACACAAGATGTGAAGTTCTTGACAGTGAGACGCTTCTTGTGGCTAATGCTGAAGAATTTTCCAGCATATATGTCAGATTCATACTGGAAAACAGTTAAAAATTAACTGAAAGAGAGGACGGAAGGAAGGAAGGAAGGAAGGAAGGAAGGAAGGAAGATAAAGTGGAAGTCCTCAAAGTAGAAATGATCTTCACCAGGATCTGAGGCAGCTATGACACTTGGACTATATGTCCAGAGCTGAGCTGGCAAGTGGGAAGAAGAACATGTAGGTGATTGGAATAAAAAAAAAAAAAAAAAGTTTAAAGAAGATATTTAGGAGGAAGCTAGGCAGAGAGAAGTTAAAAACAAACATCTTTTGAGTGATACCACTTAGAGGTATTGGGCCTTTAGCCAAAATCAAAGCATCACCATAAAGAAAACACAGACCAAGAAACTTAAAAGAGAGGAGGAAAAGGATAATTCTGCAAAAACAAGGCAAAAAACCCCACCCCTGCTGCAGTCAAAGCATCAAGAAAAAAAGAGCACAGAAGACTTTATTTTAAGGGAAATGTAGGTATTTTCTGAAGGCCACAGAGGAGTCTCAGCTTTGTCAACTCTCATGATTTTATCAACAGCCTCAAGTTATTTGCTAGTTTCTTCTAGGGCTCAGCTCCAGAATAAACACTGTTTTCACTAAAAGAAAGGTGGAGGTGGTAGAACTAAAAAAAGGAAAAAAATTCCAGAAATCACAGATACAAAGAAAAAAGTAGGAAAAGACAGTCATCAAAGACTCAAATGTGAGAAAACAGATATTATCTGTTAAAAACCCCCAAATTATTAAAAATTATGTATTGTTGAGGTACAGCTGAAGTCTTCCAGGGCAGGTTTATTCCCACGGTAGATACAAAACCCCAGCTTTGCAAACTACTTGCAGCCAACCATTGTCAAATCTGGACCACATCAAAACCTCTTCCTCTGACTGGTGACTGATCAAGATAGATCAAGATACATAGTGTTAAGGAAAAGAAGGAGGAAAAGGCCAAGCTAAACCAGATAAAGGATTAGAGAGAAAGGCCAAATATTTGGCAAAAGTACAATACCATGTACTTCATGCCATTATCTGATCCCTGTGTATCAGGTATCAGCATGTGGCAAAATATGTGGGATAAATAATCTTTCTTTTCTAAGCTGCTTCCTGTGAAGCCCCTGTACCAGCTGCTTTTTAACATGAGGTAGTGTATTAGACAGATCTTTGGTCTTATCTAATACCTTCCAGATGCTCAGAAGAAGTGTCAATAACATCAGCAAAAGATCTGCCTCCAAACAAAGAAAACAGTCCAAGCTGAGATATGAGGGGCAAGGAGGAAAGAAGCCGAATCTTAAAGAGAGAAGGGAAAATTTTGGCCTAAAGCAAGAATAAAAAAAAGAAGAAATGTTTATGCACAAGAAAAGCCCAGACTCAGAAAAAGATGGAGGCTGCAGAGCATGTTATCAGTCAAGCCAGTCTGAAGGAGAATAATTTTCTCCATACAAGCAGTCTCCTTTACCCTGTAAAGTTTCTCACCAGGTAGCCTGCTAAGAAAAGTGAGCACATATTTAGTCTGTGGGGTTCTCTGCAGCTGAAAGAAAAGTGATACCCTGGAAAGAGTTAACAGAGCTGACAGCTGTATCAGGCAGAATTGTTTTCAGACTTCCCTTTCCCTGAAGAGCACTTTAACCTGCAAGGTTCTGCTTAGCTGATCCACACAGCAGGTCACTATCATTTACTCAGGCACAAGGGGTGAGTTCAGGATGACATTTCAGCCTTAAATCCCCTCTTCTGGAGCGACCTGGGACCCACAACATCTGAATGCAGTTTTTATCATCTGCGAGCGTGAGGAAGTAGGACTTGGAAGTACAGCAACCAATTATTTATTTATTACCTTGTTATGTAAATGATATAATCTCTCTTTTCTTCTGCAAAAGTGAAATCATATCCTGGAGCAATAAAGGCAACTCTGCAATAAATCTTGCTTGTTAAATTGGCCAAACCCCTGTTAGGTTTGAATAACAATTTTGTTTCAGTGTGTAAAAAGGCAACGTGCCAGAACCCAGGTCCTTGCTTCCTTTTACAAGCACCACTTGCAACGTGTTTATATTTGTATTTATGATGTGCTTTTTCTTACACTTTACAAAGCAGTGACTGGCTTATCCACCACGAGGTGAGGGCAGTATCTGCAGCAGCCACTTGTGTCAAACATGTTACTGCCAATTAATGCAGGGTGGTATTAACTGAAACCGTGCTCTGCAGTATCAAGCCTTTTCTCCTTGAATTTCTTTGCTGTCTGTGAGTTTGATTTAAAGTCAGGTTTTCAAAAGTCAGTCAATAACAGATGGTTAATGAATTCTAGCAGTGCACACTATGAAATGGTAACAGTCAGCAATTGGTGAATTAGCAATTAATGTCTTTCCAGGAAAACCTTCCCTGGTGCCCATAAAATATAACAAGGCACTTTTTTTCTTTTCTTTTTTTTTAATTCAATATTAAGGAATATATGTTTGCTTCAAAGAAACAAAGATGATTTCCCAGGATCAGAATATTTCTCCTAAAGTTCTTCTATTATTCCAGATAAAAATAAAGATGATTAGAACAGTGTTCTCTAGGATATCTGAACTCCAGAGATGTCTATAAAGCCCTTTTAAAAGCATAAAAATCTTATTAGGTGCAGTAACCTTGAAGAGTAAAGAAGAAACTGTGCAAGAAAACAGATTTTTCCAAACAAAAGTGAATATAATGGATGGTTTTCTTCATATACATCTCTTAGGCTACTTATTTTGTTGAGAGTTGTCTGTCCCCTCCTTTCTTATTTATCTGCATATGACTCTGATTAAAAATCCACTGGAGACTACAGTTTGAACATTTTTCAAGCATGAATAGCACAGCAGGTTGCACCCATAAAACCAGCTATGTGCTTACATCTTGGCATGTTAGACAAGGCACAGCTTTTACTTCTTAGCACACCTCATGGGGCCAAGATGAAGGATTTGTCAACGCAGGCTGGAGCTGTGGCTACGTTAGAATCCAGTGCTGTGCAAGAGTATCAAGGTACCTTTGAACAAGCTCTCATGGACACTGGGAAAAACCTACTGTAGAATGGACCTCAGAGTGAGCTCACATCATAGCAAAGAGCAGCAACTATGATCAGAATAGCATTAGATGGCTAATGGCATCTGATCTGAAGCTGTGGTAGTCCACACTGCACTCCTGAGTGCAAGAGAGGGCTGCAACTATGAAAATGGTGGTGAAATTCTTCTGGCAATAGTTCCACAGAGGGATTCGTGGTGGGGAAGAGTGCCAGTATTTTGCTTTTTCCTTAGGACTAAACCTCTCCATCAGAGACAAAAAGGGGATGCTGAGTACTCTGTCAGCTCCTTGCCACGTGCATGTCCCAGTGTGCTTCCTCAGAGTTTGGAGGTGGTGGACAGTAGGGTTAATGGGGCCATAAGCTCCATAGCACCACTCAAGCCAAGTAGGGCATCTGGCAGGCTCAAACCTAAAAGGACAATGTTGCCAAGTCCTAAAATGTGGGACATGGCCTGAGCTTCTCAGGGATAACAAGGCTGTCCAGCCTGCCACAAGAACAGGGAAAAGCTGTGGCCATCCACCCATGGGCCACACTTGGCAGCCTCCCAGCTCTGCACTGGGAACACGACTTGTGTCACTGCTGCTGCCAAGGAGCATAGGGGATAATGGAACAAACCAATAAGCTTTTAATTCTCTTTGCTTTTGTATTCCAGCCCAGAGATTGAGAGTTTCTCTAAATGTTTCGGGAAACATTTAGACCTGGGGTCATCCTATCTAACTTCTCAGCGAAGTGCCTACATGGAGAGTATCCCCTAATCCCTCTGAGCAAAGCAGGTATCAATCTTGCTTGCCAAAATCACTTTCTCTCACGACCTCTGGTGGTGCCTGTTTCTAACCATGGATACAGAGGATGCCTACTGAAGGTGACCAGACTTTGAATTTAGGATAAGTGGAAGCGATCTGGGTGTCAGGCTTCAGAGAGCCTGACTTGCCTACAAGTGTTGAGCACACACATACAACAGGCCTGCATAAAAATGCTGCTGCTGCACAGCTTTATTGTAATATTTGTCCTTAAACACTTAAAAATGTGGATTTCCCAGGCATAGGCACGATGGGCTGCCCCAGGAGAATGTGCTGATCAAGCTACAGAAATGGAGGTGACTTTTGGAAAGATCTCCCTCCCACAGAATGGCTGAGGAAGGAAGGAGAATTGGTAATCCCATTAGTGAGTGTGCAAAAACAGGTATATTCTGTTAAACTAAATATGGAGGACAAGACATCCTCAGCAGTTTTCTGTCCTAATTTGTACAATTTACTCAAATGTATTTTCACCACCTTTTATGCACAGTGACATACTTGCCTATTAGTACCAGCACTGAGAGCTAAATTCATACTTCCTGCACTGTTGACAGTATGAGGGCAAGAGATGACCTGCTCTGAGTTTTATAATCCTGTATGAATAGGTAATTCCACCAGTGAGTGAAATAAATGCATAAGATCTGGAAGTTATTATGAAGGAATAAATAGGATCCTAAATATAAAATACTGCATTTGCAAACTTACTGTTCAGAACAGGACCATGCTTTAAATAACAGGTTTTTCTCTTTCACTTCCCCGTTTTCCAGCTTAAATTTAGATTATTATCAAACAGGAAAGCCTGACAATGTGTTAATATAAATCCACAGAGCAAAAAAAAGACAGGTAAAATTTTTTAAATTTAACAAAAATTAATGAAATTTAATTAAACTCTATTTCATCAAATAATATTGAATTTCAAAGGCTGGTATTTATGGATTTTTGGACTGACTGTATTTCCAATTCATCTCAAGGCAGGTGCATTTCTTTAAAATAAAACTTTCTAAAGAGACTTCTTTTGGGGGAGCATGTAAAACTGTGTGAACTCCAAGCTACTGTCCACAGAGAGTTTCTGAGGGAGGCTTACAGAAAGTTAGAAAAATATTAAGAATTTTTGAAAGCTATGTAAAAAACCCCCAAACCTGACAGTGTGTTATACAGCTTTCACTAGAGTGCTAGAAAAAAAAAAAAAACACCTTCAGAGACCCTTTCTATTCTGTGATTCCATGATATTTTGTAAGCTTAGTACCAATGAAAGTTTTCAATATGGTTGAAAAGATTCCTAATAAATAGCTTGTCTACAAAATACTCACCTTTACAAGTTCCATGACAAGGTATAGCTCAGTTGGCATGTCCATCTCCTCAATCAGAAGTACAATATTGGGATGCTTGACTCGTCTTAAAATAGATACTTCGTTCTGGATCATGTGTTCCTGTCACACAAAAGAAACCTTTAATGACTATGGGTTGGTGGGAAAAAACTTTCACAGTGGAAAAAGCAAAGAGAATTGAGATCTGCGTGGGTTCTTCGGGGTTTTTAAGAAATGTAGCAGATGTTGCCTCCAGCAATATGGAAGGAATGTGTCTAGAAACAACATCAGTGTGATAATTGAAAGAAGAACAGAGAGTAGAACATAAAGAGATGGAGGAAAAGACATTTCTGATGCAGAGAAAAGTTAAATATGGAAACTTCTTAAATTTTTTCTCTGATGCAGAATCTTTTGATTTAACAGTATGAGAGCATCTTCTCAGAAAATCTTTTGTTACAGATTTCAGAGGCTAACAGTCACTTGGTATAAAACTGACATCAATTTGATGAACCTTGCACACTGTTTAGACAGTGACCAGTGTTGTTATAATTATTAGTATTATTTTTCTGTTTTCTATAACATCTGGAATGATGAAAGTTAGAGGACCTAACTAGAGGGGTAAAGAGCAAGGGGAGTGCCCACACACAACCAAACAACTGTGGATTCAACACATGCATCCACTGCAGCCTTTTACATTGATACTCCAAGGGTCTGCAGGGGACTGGCAAAGGCTTCACCCAAAAAGATTCTAACACTTGTCAGGAAGAAGACAAATACTGACAGCTTCCCAAACTGATCTCTCACAAAATGTTTCTTGAAAAAAAAATAAAATCTTTTGGTCTCATAAGATTTTTTTTTGTACTTACTTTTCCTCTGCATTTACTTTTTTTGATTATTTTCAGAGCATATTCTCTAGCAGTTGATCTGAGGAACAAGAAAAGAAAAAATTGTGTGTTCAATCACATTGCATATTTTTATAAGTCAAATTTATATTTTCCATTTGAGCACAGTAAGTCTGGGCAAGAATTCTACTCAAGTATTTGTTTTGTCAAGAAATGAAGCTTGGATTTGACTGTAATTGTGAACTTGAGCCAAATTTATTGAATACCTGTGCCTGAGAAAAAAGCAGACATTTTAATGTTTTTAAACCAAAACCACTTGATTTTTTTTTCATTTTGTTATGGTAATTGCTATCTCTTCTGCAGTTTTATGTAAAAATATTATATAGTATTTACAGAGACAAATATTTTCAAAACAAATTTTTTGTTTGCTATTATACTAAAAAAAACCCCAAAAGCATTGGAAAATACTTCTGGTTTTTACTTACAATGAAAAGGAGTTTGTTTGCATGCACATCTGCACTCAAAATTGCTATGATAAAGAAGTCATTCCTTACAATAATATTTTATGTGTTCACTAAGTATAAGATACTTAGCATTGTTAAATATGATGTTTATAGGACAGAACATGAAAGGTTCTGGACACAGTAAGAAATTACGGAAAATCAGGATGAGAACACTTTTCCTCTTTAGTTTTGGGGCTTTTAACCATTCAGTATTTATTACTACCACATATATAGAGATGCTTGTTATATAGAATGCTAACATAAAAGAATAAGCTTGTACACAAGTTAACAGTATTAAGTTCCATTTTTTAAGTTACAAAACCAAAATATGTCTGTAAGGATGAAACCAGGAGGCTCTGTGCACAAGCTCTAGTTTCACTTTAAGATTAAATGCAGAATAGGCAATACAAGAAAAAGCTCTTCCTGAAATACTTTCATTTTGTAATAAAAACCTAAATAGTTTACAAAAGTCTATTACATTGCTCTTAGGCATATGTTTGGTTAAAAAAATAATGAAAGAAATAACCTCTCAGGCATATGGGGTGATTTTTTTTCATTCTTCATTTAGCAAAACATAGTTAAACTGATACATTATATTGATCTAGAAGCTAAATAGAGAAATGAATGTGCCTAAAAATGTGCACAGTCTGTCAAACAGGACATGCAAAGTGAGTCATAAACTCAAAACACTGCATCAGGAAAATGACTGGGCATATTCATTGCCACATTTCAGCATGGAGAACTCTGCAATGATGTACCATTAGGAATTAATTTAAGGGAAAATGCATACTTTAGGAAAAAGAAAAAAAATAATAACCCCAAAATATTAATTCTTTTTGTGTTCCCAGGTCAGCGGGGAGGAAAACCAGCCTGTATTAAGGCATCAGTTAAAAGCTGTGCAAAGAAAACACACTGGATGATGAGGTTTATGACTTAGGGAAAAAAGCACAGAACACCTGTTTAAGCTTAAGAAATATTAAAAAATTCTCATATTTATCCTCCCCCACAAAGAGGTTTAATGCTAGAGGTCCCAGAAATGGGCCACACTCCACGTGAGGTGCCCCTTCCTGGGGCTGCTGTTTGGTGGCTACAGTCCTCCCTCAGTAAGGGGACAGGCAGAGAGATGGACACTATTGTTTGGGAACTGAAGGAGGAGGTAGGAGAAGGAGTGTTAGAAATTAAGATATCTGGGGTTCAGACTCAGACAAAATATGCCCTCTTTCAATAAGAGTCTCTTTCAAGCTGTTTGGTTGTCTTAAGAATGCTTCCTTTCTGTCATGAGAAAGGAAATTGATGGTTTTTGTTGGCCATGGGAGACTCCATATACTCCAAAACACTGGGAAATCTGAGCTAGTGAGGAAATGTCAGAATTTGGAAGTATCTGAAAGTTAAAAATGAACACATATAAAACCACGCCAGGACAAATTGCACATATGATGGAGCAGATAGGTAACGAGCAGATGACAACTCTGACTGCTCTTTGTTTTGGTAAAAGGAAAATTAAAGCTAAGATAATGCAAATCCTTTCCCCTAAAAAGCTGCAGAACCACAGGCTGTCAGCAGCACTGCGACTTGCACGCCTGCCAAAAAATGCCACACCAGAAACTCTCAGTGAAATGGGCATGTCACCTCTCAACTATCACTCAACCCAAACAATAAATGATGCCACTAGAAGTGGGAAACACATTATGGCTGGATAAAAGCCTGGACACACAGCACTACTGCAGGGCACAGGGGTATATCTCTATTTCAGAACAGGGCTCTCTAGGGCAGGGCTCGGTGCCACGTTCCCTGACCGGCTTAAGCTTTTTTAAATTTCAATGAGATTTCCATTGCACTGGGGACAAAACTCTATCTTCATTATTTTTGTATGCCATTAAATGTATTTGTGTGTGTGTGTGTGTGTGTGTGTGTGCCCATTCATTCTCAGAGGCACAGACCAGGATTTAAAAGTTGTCCTATGAAAATTTTGAAGATGGTTTTTGGTTCCTCTCTGGAGTGCTCGTTGTCAGAGAAAACCACCTGTGAAGGCGTTGAAGATGTCAGAGTGGCTGACCAACACACACGGGCTGGTCTCCACGGCGAGGGAGGAGCAGCCACGTGAGCAGGGAAGATGTTTAACAAGACCCATTCCTACTTGCTCAACACCTCACGGCGCCACTCCTTTGAAGTCTAATGCACACAGGAATTGTACATCAGAAGAAAGTGGAAAAGTCCTCTGTTCCAAGTATCACCCCATCAATTCTGGCTCTGCAAATGATGGACATATCAGACTTTGAAGTGAGGTGTTTTTTGCTTAGAAAGACCGTGAAGAATGTTTTTGAAGGGTTTTTACCTGTACTGGCTTTAATTTACTCTCTGAGCCTTTAATTTCTCCTTCTACACTTGTGATGGCAAGGGCATACTGCTTTAGAAGTAGGAAGTAACAGAAATAATTCCACTTTAATTTTCAAGCTCTGCCAAAGTCATAACTCTCTGATATACATGGGATCTATGGAATGGTATAGCTCAGAGACCACAGAGTATGTATGGAAATACCCAAGTAATTGTGCTAGCTGAGCACATATTCACTAGATATGTCATGCCATTGGGTACTTCTGGGACCAGTGGGAGAGACAAGAGGACAGGAAACAGTTTGCATTTAAATTCTCAAGGATCACTATTAATTTTAGGTGTGGTGGGACACATTTAGTTTTGTTTATGTATTTTTTCTCAGGTTGAGAAAGTTATAAAATGCACACTAGCAGATTTGAACTGTCTCTCAGCACAACTGGCATTTTCAGTTGAATGACAGTGTATCAAAACCTCAACTTTTGTTCTGTTGTCTTGCAATCTGTTTCTCTCAGTCACTATTCACTCTTTTAGTTTGCTTTTTTCTCTTTTCTTGGCTGTATGTTCTCACCCATGTTTTTCATCAGCCATGCCCCCTCCATAGCATTTTACAGTGTTTTCTTGCTTTCATAGTGTTTTGTTCTCCTTCCTCTAGGTTTCCATGTTACCCAGTTTAGTGTTCAGACCCTGGGGTTTGATCTGAACAGCCATCACCCTCCAGATGACCAACTCCACTACAAACTGACAGACCTCTAAAGGTCTCACAAGAGCTTTGGCCAAGTCCCACAAACACACTGTCAGCTGATACAGAATCCATTCTTCCTCCTTTCTTCAACAGCTGTCTTCGTGGTTTCTGACCTGCCAGACTCTTTCAGATGCAGAGTGGGACCTGCCTTCTTCCAGAGAGACTCTACTTTAAAACCAGCCAAGCTAATTTATCATCTTCTGCCATGAGATCTAATCTTGACTTACTCTCTAGGGTTAATATCACATTCTTACAGGCTAAAGAGCAAAAGTTCTTTGCTTGAGGCCAAAGGTGAGGTTACAGTCTTCTGTAAGAGTCTCCTCTCTAGGATATGGTAATAAGGAATATAAAACTTCATTCATGGAATTTCATTATCAGACTTTGACATCTCTATTGTTCTTTTTTTTTTTTTCCTGACATCTCTATTTCTGGCAGTTTTTTGCTTTCTCTGCGCTGCTACAAGCTAACATGAGCAATCTTAGAATCATTTCACATACAGGTACCTTCTGTCTTTTTTACTCCATATTCTACTTTTAACAATGCCACCAAAAGGCACCTGAAGCTCTACCTGGAGTGTCTCTCTCTTTGTTCCCTTTTTTTTTACACTCTTAACATTGGGTAGAGCCAGTTCAAACCTGGTTCATGACCTGCCTGGCCAGATTTTGAAACCAACACCTGAGCTAGTCAGTCTGAACACTTTCAGCAACACTGACGTTTGAAGTGACTTGTGACTTCCCTAATCTGGAGTGGATGTCTAAAATCAGACTTTAAAGGTGACTGTTCTCACCTCTTAACAGTAAAGGACACCAAAGAAGTTAGATTTTGATGTCTGCAGAAGAAGCTCCTAAAGCTGGCTGGAGATCATGTAATGGAATAAAGCAGGCAAGCAGGAGAGAGATGTCCATTTAGTTAAAGATAAACATGGAAGAGGTTACTCCTCAGGGTCCGATGGCAGAATCCAGAGATCCAAAATCAGCTCTTTGTGCTGACCACCACCACTACACTGCTCACACAAAACTTCTTGACATCTTTACAGAATGCTCCTACATGTGAAAAATTTCATTGCTCTAATGAAATTGTTTCAGTGCAACAAGAAGGATTTAACAGAAAGAACTGGTAAAATTATGTGGGCTGCAGCAGAAAAAAAAAAGACCAAAACCAAACCACAAAGAATTAAATTCATAGATTGTGTTTTAAGACTCACTCTTTTCTCATATGAGAGGACATTAGTCTGTTTTTTCCATCTGGGATTGAGACATTACCTTATTACACGTCCTGTACTCTACAAATAACGACATGACCTAGAAAAAGCATGACATGAATGATCATTTTGAAAGCAACAAGCATATTATCCTCCTCACCTTTCTATACACTCCTTCACAATAGCAAAATTTCCATCTCCTATAGTCCTTCCAACTTTATATCGTTCTGCTATCGACGCTGGAACCTGGAAACCTTCCTCCAACACTTCTGAAAGAATCATTAGTACATTTTTATTGTTAGTGAAGGAAACACAGATGTTGCACATAACATGCATTTTAAGTCTATGGTCTAGGAGCCTGGAAGCCATTCAGAGTCAGTATCTCACTTACTGTACAGTGAAACCATGCTGCTGACATTGTATATACTCAACAGGTTTCACACAGATACAATAATGAAAAATAAGACTTCTGGGGGCTCAAACATACCACCATTCGAGTGTTACATAGTTTACCATTCCCATTGCAATATGACCCCAGGACAAAACCAAAATTGTATTTTTTTAATTATGAAAAGGCCTCTGCACAAGCGCAGACCAGCCTCCAAAGAGGGTTGGAACTCCTTGACACAGCATGATTAAATATATGTACCAAAGAGGTCCAACACTCAAGCACTTATTTTATTACATCCTGTAAACTGAGACATCCATAAAACTCCTCATGTGCTAAGTGCTAGTTCTCCCCCTCCCCCAATATTAAATATTTAGTTTTTAAACAAATGTTCTCAATAATACTACCTCGCATGCAACCTGGGCACCAGATGTTTAGGTAAAATTGCATTACACAGTGTTTAAGCACAAGAAAAGGTTGTAGTTTCATGTGTTTTAGTGCTCATTCATGTACCATTATTTTTAAATGTATTTGAAATAGCATGTTACAAATATCTAACATGCCTCTAAAAGCTGACAGTAAAGTGCAGCTGATACAAACTACTGTAGAAATATCGCAACGTAAAAAAAATGCCTCTCAGAAATGTGACTTGAATTTACACCCTTTCAGACAGTGTCTTTAACTGTATCGTTATCTGCCCTTTGTTCCAGTTCAGGACTAAAAGTGAACGTTATGGCAGAAGCAGGAGGCTGGGTTTTGCCTGGATTCACAGGCAGCAGGAAGAGTTACTGTCAGAGGGGAGCACAGACACACACTTACGTATATGTGCGTGTGAACTGGCAGCATCTGAGCAGACACCATCCCTGAGCCAGTTGCTCAAAGCCTTGTTTGGAGTGAGATTAGTAATTCTTGAGTACAGACCCAGGACTGCAGTATGCTCTTTAGTACCATGACAAGATGAGAGAAAAAATTACTGAGGTAATCCCGTCTGCACTGTGTCACCTGCAGAACTAGTATCTTGAATATACTGCAGCTAAACCACCTCTGAATAGTGATGTCTGGATCAAATCTAATCCAGAGTGAGCCTAACTGGTTTGCTATAGACTGAGGAGGCTCCTGACGGAGTCATCCAGCCCGCAGTGCTCCCACTTTCTCCTGCAGGAAGAATGACTCATTTCCTACAGAGCTGCTGTTATCACTGACTGCTCCGCAACGTCAGCCTGCAAACGTTACCTTCTGCAGGTCCATCATTCTCATCCATAGAGCTGCAAACTTTGGTGGATGCTAATGAGGTAGAGGAGCCACTGTGTTGGGAGCTCTGAAAATGGAGAGACACAAATGAGAACAGATGAATTTTAAGGAGCACGGGTACTTGCAGCACATTCCCACTGCACAGGCATCCTGGAGTCTTCAGCGTTCCCTATGCAAAGTATCAGTTTACTTTGGTAGATGGCTATGCAGATGCTTGGGAAGAGTCCAGTTTTTCCACTGAAATTGCACTGTTGATGCCACTGCATAAATGGAGATATCCCTGATCCATCATGTGCAGTAATACTTTTATATATGGTCCATTAGTGTCTGTCTCCCTGTTCCACACACATTTTGGCAGAGAAAGCTGAGGAGCTGTATGCCCTCTGCAGGCAGGACGCAGCTTTCTGTGACACCACTAACCCAGCAGGCACGAGAAGCACAAACATCTGTTGGCTTTGTAATGGGCAGAATTCCTCCCTTTGGCAAACCTCCCTCTGATGAAATCCTCCCCAGGTGTGTTCTAGGAAGTAGAAATCATTATGATAATGTATGGAGAAAATAAAATGACAGGGTGATTAACATTTGCTTTTTTGGAAAAGCATTTGATTTGATACAGCTCATTTGAGGCATGAGTCTGTACCTTGGTTTAAGTAGTTGTAGAGCAAGTGTCTAAGTTTGCCTTTACAGCTAATGGGGGGAGGATGGTATGTCTAGTCTCCAGGAGTCTTGTAACCACCCAGCTTGGATGCCAGCAGTACAGCAGGCAGGATCTTACCAGGGAAGCCTTCCAAAGCATCTATCAGTGTCTATAATTACATATAGACTCTAGGCATATACTTTAGGAAGACTGCTTCATTACATATCTAGATGGATAAAACTACACAGACATATGGGATGGACTGGAATTTCACCCCAAACTCTTATCCTGTGCTGTGTAACAATTATACAAGGCCATCTTCAGCATTCACCCATTTTCAAAGGAAAACAGAAGTTGTTACAAATGTAACTGGCCCTTAAAACTTACAGAAAAACTGAGCATTTCCTCAGGTCCTTGTGTTGCAACATAAGTGGGAGGAATTCAGAAGATTTCCAAAGCTAAAACTCTCTTGGGTTCACATAGTTCACATAGTTCACATGCTGCAAGGTTAAAAAGTGCTGCAGTATTTAATTACCTCCTTCAATCTACGTATTACATATATTACAGGCTGCACTACACATAACTAACACTACCAGTTCCTTGTCTGTGTCTGTGAGGTACCTAGATGCTCACAATCAGGGTGCCAATCCACTTAACAAATTTAACACAGCTTCTTTGGAATGTTCTCTCTCCTCTGCCACCTCAGAGCACAGCTGAAGACTGGAGCAAGAATAACTACTGATGCAGCAGTTGGGATTTTTGCAGGGTGTGGAGCCAGGGAGAAGGCAGTCAGCAGCGTGAAAAGCTGACCAGTATGCTGAGTTCATTTGAACAGACTAACTTTTAATTTCTCCCACAATAGATTAAGGTCAGTTGATTAAGGCAAAGGATGAACTTGGTCTATTTTTCACTAAATAATCCTGAGAGCTTGCACATCTCATCTACCAAGAGATTCTCTGCCTTTTTTTTTTTTTTTTTTCTTTTAATCAACTCCAGTTCATTCTTTTCATCCATCCAAGCATTTCTTCTGAGCTTTGAGCAGAATTAAAAATTTCATTAATCAGTTTTTGGACTACTTTTGCTGCCTCTTGACAAAAGAATTGAGCACTGACTGATTTATTCAGTTTGTTAAGATATTGCTGCCCTTGTTTCATGATTAGGACATGTTTATGTATGTGCTATTCCTGTGCTAAACTCTGCAGGATGTCTCAGTAAAAACTTACCTCTGGGTCATTTTTGAACAAACGAGTAGATGAAGATCAAGGTAACTGGAAAATGCTAGGAGTTCTCATGCCTGGAGAAGTCACTCTCAAAGCCTATTCTTATACACGTGTAATGAGAGAATTGTTTCCTTTACCCTCCTGCTCGTGAAATAAGCAGAAAAACATGTTTTCTCTACTCATTCTGCTGTGCCTCTTTGTTTTCCTAGACCAAGCATCCAATTTCTTACTGTTTTTCCCACTTGACTGTATATTCTTAAAGGAATTACAATTTAAGTACATTTAATATTTGCCACATATACAATAAGGAATGAATTTTTACAACATTTAAGGAGTACAATGCAAAAAGGTTACTGATAGATTTTCACAACTACTTTATCCAGCTTTTTGTATTTTAAATAGTGAGATTACACGTTTCAGCAGAGGTTAGGTCAAGACTGCTGCCTGCACAGCACTGCAGCTTTCTTTATGGACTCTCACTCCAATTGTTCTCATTTGTGAGAACGGGAGGCGTGAAAAATGAAACCCAACTTGGTGGCCACATCTTCTCAGAATGGGTGCCTAGAGAGACTCAGATTTCTAATTTGGAACCTAATTTCTCCAGGACCCTCAAGATGAGGTTTAGCTGAGAACGGCAACTGCTCATTCCTTCCAAATTTAGACTCCTTCGAGGGCCGATTTCAGCAAAGCACTTCAGGAAGTGCCTCACTTTAAATACAAATAGTCTTAATAGCCTATACATGACTGAAATTAAATTTACTCTTAAATAGCTGTCTTAGGTATAGTTCCCTAAATATGTATTTAGCCTAGCTTTAGTTAAGCAAACTGAATAGAAGTGCCCCATAGAAAATTGCAAGGAAATAAAATACCAATTCAATTTTTAAGTGCCCCTATTTCTTTTCTTATTGAGATTACATAAGGATGGGAAGTCTGAGATGATATTCATAACTGAAAAGCTGAAGTGATGCATTAGTAGCATATACTGTGCCACAGGTTTGCAAACAAAGCACACAGCCCTTTCAGTGAGATCTGCTTGCACAGCAGCAGTGTGTCAGTGGAAGCAGAGCTTGCCAGTGACAAGAAAGAGGTAGCTAAGAAGACATTTGCTAAAAAGACATACTGAGATTTCTAAAATTTTAAACTCTTTAAATTAATTGAAAAATATGGAGAAAATACATTCTTTTAATTATCTTTGCTGAAGCCATCCTATTAAAACAACAGATTAAAAAGAAATCAGGGGCTGTGCATTTGCATCTATTCACCAAGTCTGCTGACAGACCCCCTTTCACAAGCAAAGAGACGTTACTAGGTAAACACAACACAAATATTTCCATCTTTATTCAGTCCTCTGGAACAACATGCAGCCACTTATTTATTTATCTCTCTTTACTTCAGCTAGAAGGACATTCCATTTATTTAGACTTTAATTAGCTCGTTGTTCTCACAAACTGAAAGCCCTCCGGGTCCAGCAATCCTTGTGGGTCTCGGTGTTCCTTCCAGTTGGCTTGCCAATCGTGAGGCAGTCTGTCGTGCACACTGTTGCTCTCACAGCTGTGGACCCCATCAGGGATATTGCAGATGGGGAGAGGGGAAAAACAAACTCTAAGCAAGAGTATAATCTCTTCAACACACAGACCCTAATGCAATTAGCTGTTTTAATTTTAAGAGATGCTGAGGTGTTTGAAATGTCATCACTTCTACACAGATTTAAAGGGGTCCAGTTACACAGGTTGCCAGCACATGGTCATTTTTATGGCACACCTCCATAAAAGCGATGGCATAAAAACATCAAGTCTTTGGTGTAAGGATTTCAGATCCTATTCATGTTTATATAACAGATGGCCAGCACACCACACATCTCATTGATGTGAATGGAAACGTTAGCGCTATAGAGTTTCATCCATGTCTCACGGGGAGATTTATTTAGCAACTGTTTTGTAAATAGTTTGTATCTCAGTGGAAATTGTGCTAAATCCATAAAAAAAAAACAAACAAAAAAAGGCAGTAAAATATTACTGTGTTTTCTCTCTCCCCATACTCACCTTTGTCCTAAATTCATCTTAAAAGTCCCACTTGAA